GATGTAAACATCTGTTGCTCCAGGGGCATCCTTCTCTGCTACATCTTAAAAGCCATTTTGTAAGGATATAGTTCACACATAAATATTAAAAAGTTACTGCTCTCACTATCAAGAGTTATGGTCAAGGGGGTGAAAGAAAGTTCATACGTAATTGTGTGGTGAAGTGTTTGCCCAAATGTACTCTGTGGTGCCTTCCAGGGCATAATCAATTACGATCCAGTATATATTTCTACCCTTCTGATAGTGGCAATCATGCAATGATCTGGCATTTATTATGCTCTCCATTCCAAGAGGGTACAGGCACATGGACTTACTCATCTCAGTGGCTTTCCAAACGGTGTGTTGGACAGCTCTGTATGAATCTTCAGGGTTCTTCAGCACAGACCTTGGTGATGACCTACAACATTTTTTAGACAGCCAGCTTCCAGTTTTGGATCTTACCCTGCATTGTATACCTGCAGAAGGGGTTCTGTGTGTTTCAGGCTGGGCTTTGGATAAACAAGTCCATGTGGACAAACAAGTGGCGGTTAAGAAGGCTTGGCTAGTTCCCAGCGCAAACTGAGTGTGTGCCCTCTGAACACACAATTGTCTGCCCTCTGAACACACAATTGTCTGCGTGCACTGGGTTTCCTTGGCAGATGTGCCAGGGGCAGACGAAGGTGAACACCGTTCTGAGAGCCTTTTGCTAATTGAATGGTTTATAAAAAAAACCTTAAGTAAACAAACCAACAAACGAGTTGAGTGGAGAAAGACACCTTTGAAGAATACAGGTTTTTAGCTCAGATCTAGATTGGTCTGAAGACACTGCACAGGAAGTCGTGCTACAAATGAGGACACAGTTAAGTGCTTGGTTTATGTGAATTAGCTCAGTAACCTCTGTAGGCAATTGTGCACTACAACAGTGTAATTCTTATTTAATAGTTTTGCTGTCCTTTGCCCAAATCCAGTTTCAGGGACATGTTTCTTGTGCCTATCTTTTTTTTCTGGCTTCCATTTAAACTGAGTGACATACTTACAAAGACTTAAGAGGTTGTTACTAAAGGAATGCGATGCCTCTAGCTGTTAGTATTTGTCCCATTAGCTCTAGTATTAGGAAAGTAACATAGTTAACTGTCACATTGCTGTAAAGCCGATTCATAGAAACACCATTTAACTGAATTGAGTTGTAAGTCTTAATTATTGGGTGGATTTAGAGAATGCATATTACTCATAACAACATCGAGGGACATTTTCTTAGGTAAAGAGGCAAGTTTAATTGAGCCTCCAGGTCTGACATAACCTTCCCTGGATTATCATTCACCAGATCTACTTATCCTGTCCCTTGCCACTCAACAGTTGTAATGGAAAGGTAAATTTACCAGGTATTCTAGTCTAAAATGTACTGGTCCGCTTTAGAGATAACCCCTTCCAAGCAGCAGTTGTAGATAAGACTTTCTTCTAGCAAAGCTTAGTGACAGATATCATTTAAATTCTCAACCACAGACTGTCAGTCCCTTTTACTGGAGCACTTAGTTTGGTTGGAAAACCAATGTATATTAATAAAGATGCCCATCCACTGGGTAAATGTCTTTTCACTGAAGTATGAGAACTGCTAAGAATTTGATGGGACAGGAGAGAAGTTATTTGTCCTTTCCCACTGAATAAAATAAACATCCAAATTGTAATGGCTTTAACTCTGGAAAACAAGCATTTACTAACCATAACAAAAAATTAAAACCATTTGGATTCCAGAGGTTCTCACCTCTTTCTGGAAATCTCACAACATCACTGGCAGCATCACACAATGACTACCATGTTGGGCATTGGCAACCACAAAATTGCTAAGGCTAGAAGAAAAGTAACCAATTCACAAATAAGCACACAACACAAAATCACTCCTTCAGTGGTGTTTTCTGCTCCAGCATCCATTTTGGGGTTCAGGGACCAAGTAACTTTTCCAAGATACCACAGAGGTACAAGCCAGAGGTGGTGTCTGAACCCTGAATGCCAAATCACACATCTTTACTTCCACAAGGTATAATAAATAAAACTGTTGATGCTCAGAGTACTACATATGAAGCAAAAATGCTGTTATATAACACACATTCAAAGGCAAAACAGTAATTAGCACAAGCACAAAATCTTACCACCCCTGTTAGCACCCTCATCACCCAGACACACGGTACCCTTTCCTTGTCTATGGGCAGCTGGGCACACCTCAGAATGAAGGATGGTGCTGCAGCCACGCACTCAGAGGCCCTCTTGGAAGTAAAGTTGGCACTGGGGATCAACACTCACATGGCGGCCTCCCAGTTTCTTCACTTTTTAATGATCTAAAAACAAGAGGACAGGTGGCAAGGAAGCAGTATTTCGGAGATCCTAGCATTAGAACATTTCTTAGCCTGCCTTTCACAAAACTCAGACTCAGACCTGCTTAGCTTGGGTAAGGGTGGTGGCTGCATCTTTACAAAGGATGCTATTCCATAGGCTGTATCTGTATTGCTGCAGACCAAGAGATGGGTCAAATGAAGACAAGCAGTACCCTTACTCTGCTTCTCCCCGCTTTTCTGGCTGCTAAAACTACCATCAGCAAAATGAAAATAGACAACTTGGTACTATTGAATGGCACTCATGAGACTCAGCTGAGGCTGAGGGAGTTCTCAAGCTAGAGAGAACTGGAGCACTTGTAAGTAAAATCTCTGAAAGCTGAAAAAGTGACTGGGCAATGCACTCCAGAGTAGACCTGTGAACTAGCTCTGGCTCATCTGTCAGGGCCTTTCACTGGAAAAAAATGTGGTTGATTAATTCCATGTAATGCAGTTTCCTCAAAACAAAATAAAACTGAGAATGCAACATTACATCAGAAGCAGTCTACAAACTCCCATTCTACTTGGCAGATGCTGGTATCTTAAAGGGACACTGGTATTTCCTTGACCTTAGTACCTGCTTGATGTTCTCTGAATTGCTTCCACTGGCTTTAAATACATGATATTGAAGAATCCTGCTGGCTGTATGTCAGATTGAAGGCCACTATACAATTGTATAGTACATATATAGCTATGGGTGAGGGGGAATGACTCTAGGACCAGGGTACTAATCTCCTTAATTACAGCAGGATTTACCTGAAGAAAAATATCTTCTGTGAACATTTCTGACTCTTCTTAAGTGAAAATGTAGGAGTAGGATGCATTTACCAACTTGTCCCTAACCTGTTCTTGCTCACAAAGTTTGGATCCTTTACTGCTATTACTGGGAAATTAAGATTTCTGCTTCCTGGTTGATTTTAAATTAGAAGAAAAATGCTAATTTATACTGTTGGATTTCTTATTTCCTTCTTTTGCAACAAAGATGCAAAAAATTCAAAGAGGGAAATAAAAATTCAGAAACAAGAATTCATCTTGTTTCTGAATTCTTTATTCAGTCACAGTGAATGTCCTATAATTCCTATGGTTGCACCCCAGTTTTAGGACCTCAGAGCAAACCTTTTACCATACTTGGACTCTTGGTATCAATCTGTCTCTGGACTGAATTCCAGAGGTGTCACATTTTTCTTCTCTGCAGGAGGGAGATCTATCTGTTATATCATTTTCTTTGGAGGATCAACCCTACCACTGGTCAAACAAGAACGAAAATCTGATCATCATTTTAGATTGCTTTGTTTTACATTTATCTGCATGCTTATGCAAGGAGCGGAGGTGGCTGCAAGAGGAACACGAAAAACCAGTTCCTGTGTGGTTGTTCCTAGATTTTACTGACTTTATAATCCTGCTCTTGTTCCCAACATTTGATTAGTAAACAAACATCTGTATCCAAAATACAAAGGATTTATATCACTGGTTGGGTTTCATAGAAATGGATTCTAGTTGCCATTGGCTGCTTTAGCTTATCTATACTTTGTAAGGAGAATAGACTGAATGCATATTCAGTGTATTGCAAATTTATTATCATACTGTTGGCACCATCTTGAAAGACTATTTACCAGACCAACTGTGTTTCAAATAACGCTTGGCATGTCTGAAAGCACAACAAATATTTGCATCTGCTTCGAGAATTACTTGAAGGACTGTGTTAGCTCTCACTGTGTTAGCACTACTTAGCACTCATTTTCATGCTAAGGGCTTGTCCATTGGAAGGTTGCACTGTTGAAGCCATTTGAAGGAGCAAGTCTTTTTACCAATTTGTTCACCCTTGGGATCCTAAGAATGAAAAGGACAAGGACTAGACCAAATGGTGTCACCACAATTACTCTTCTGTTATTCTTTCATTGCAGTGCTGTATGAAGAAGCCATTTGCAAGTCGTTGTGTATACACACACAGTGTCCATTGTTTTAGACCTTTCTTTTAGGTTCTTGCTTCAAATTTCCACAGTGCTTGGTAGCCACCATCTTTTTTGGAGCAGTCGGCCGCTAAAATACCTTATTGTAAAGGATGGTGAGAGTGCAGTCCTGTGTATAATTACCTCAGGAAGAAGGAAAATAGCACCTGTATTCAGTGGGGTACTTGAAACTGTGTTGCAGGAGTGTTGCCTGAATATTAGCAACTGTCCTGATAGTTGTTCAGAAAGGTCTTTTGAGAGAATTTTCCCTGTGCTACCAGTAGCATAAAATTTCATTTTCCTGAGATTCAGCCTGAAGCCAAAAGTAAATGCTGGTTACAGAAAGTTTAATGGGCTAGCAAAGCACCAGTGGTCTATGCTTCAAGATCTGCCACTTGTTAGGGCTGCAGAATTTGCTGAATTAGGTAATATGCTTCAGATTCTTGTATGTGGCACTTTTATACAAAGGGTTGCAGAATTTGAAGGCCCTGCGCTCTCCAAATTTTGAAACTAATGCTCAGTCCTTTACTTAACGCCTGACCATTTATTGAGGGAAACTTGCAGTATTGTCCAAAGAGAGAAAGAGGGAGGGAGGGAGAGAAGAAAGCCCCCTCCCAAAAGCATGATTGATGCCAGTGCAACTGTCTCTCTCTGTTCTTGCTGCAGCATGCTTAAACACCTTGGAAATGTTTCCTTGAAATCCTAGGTCAGTCTTATGAAATCCGTCTACTTGAGAATAGGAAATTGGGAGAGTTTCAAGATTTAAACACAAAATATGTAAAGGTAAGGAGATTTTCTTCCTCCTGCGACACATAGGCATGCTATAATAAGATGGTCATGCTTCTGTAAGAGAGGGTACAAATGAGAGGGCAGAGTGGTGGGGTAGTCACGTTCCTTCTCCTGAACGCATTTGATAGAAGCAAGACTTGGCAGCTTGGTTTCTAGAGCTTTGTGGAAATGGCCACTTTCTCATTTCTGACTTTTATGGATCTTTTCCACATCGATTATCTGCTGAGAATTCAGTGCATATCTGCCACGGTTCCTCTCCATCTGTTAGAAGGTTCTGGGGTCTGTTCTAGGAAACAATTTTGGGGCATGACTTACTGCTGGCCAGACCTATTAAGTTCCAAGGCTGCCTTCTAGAGCCTGAATAAGCCCAAGATTCCCTGTAGCTGTAGGTTACAGGGAAAAGTTGGCAATGGTAAACTGTCTTTGGTGAACCTTGTCTACCATCATAATTGTTGGGGAATCCCCAAATGAGCTTTCCAGGAAAACAGCAATCTTAAGAACGTTGTTTGAAAACCAGAGGTGTAGACCTTTTCAAAGGCAAGAATGTTCTAGATCAGAATAGCCCCTGGACTTAATGCTTGCTCAGATATTAGTTGGAATGGTTTCATCTCTGTGTTTAAAAGTAATTTATAGCTTATCAAATTTCCAAAAGCTTGTAAATATGGGACCTCTTAAGGGTGTTAATAATGATCTGCCTTTCACTGCTGCTTGCCATTCATAATATTTCTTCAGTCTTCTCCAACATGGTGCTCTCCAAATGTTTTAGACGGCTACTTTTCTAGCATTCCTTCTCATTAGCAGTGCTGGCTGGTGTTGCACTTCAGTGGGAGTTGAAGTCTGAAACATCTGGAGGGCTCTTGGTTGAGAAGGGTAAGATAGAGCCTTCCACAGCATTCATTGCTTCCTATATTCTCAGGTACAAGGTAAAGGGCTTGTTGGGTAGCTGTCTATACAGCACAGCCTTAAAACAGTCAATTTGTGATTTTAAAAGGATTTACTAATTTGTAGCTTCTCTATGTCTTGAAAAGTCAGTCTTGGACCTCTAAAATATACCATGTGAACAAGCACTTTTAGTAATCAGGCTGGATTCCCACCTTGCCCAAACAAAACTGTAGCAAGCTTCACAAACCTAACTGAAGAAGTGCACATGCACACCTTGGAAATCATAGACACAGACTATAAAATGCAATGGGAACTTGAAAGGAATGAAGTTGGTTAAGTTCATAAATTGCAAACTGGTTATCAGGTGGAATTGCTTTGGACTTTTTTTCCTACGTTCTTCATTAGGGTATAGATTTTGGTTCCAGCTTCCATTGTCTTCACACATAACAGATGCTCTGGTTAAATTACTTTGCTTTAAAAGAAGGGGTTTATTTGAAAAGCTGATATTTGTACTGCAAAAGTGGTTTGATTTATATTTTGAAGATTTCTGAAGATTTAAGACTGTTTGGATTCCTCAGTCATCCCAAAGTCCAGGATACAGATCTGCATTTTGTTGTTGATGTTTCCTCCAAATCATCCAATGCCTTGATTCTTAGATGTTCAGATATATGTTTAAAACTATTTTAAACCTCTACCTTCATGGATAGTGAAGATTCACAAAGTAAGATGTGAAGTCTAAGTAGCTCACATTGATATATATAGTTTAAAATGTCCATGTGCTAGGTTTCAGTCATATCAAAAGTACAATTCCTCAGTTCCAGATGATTGGTTATCCATGGATTTTCAGTAGAGGTTTCCCAGGTGTTAACTAAGATAGGAAAATAGTTTAGCTAGGATGTATTGTATTTCTGTATTTCTCAAGATTTTTTTTACATTTCTCATCATTTTTATAAATATTTGGTATATATAGCGATGGATAACCTCTGAAAAGACCTGCATTGCCTTGATTTAGGCACAGACTACAGGCATTCCATTGCTCTTGTTAGCAGTGAAAATATCTGCATTCCAAGAATGCAGCTGAATCATGGCTACCTGTACCACCTTCTTCTCCTCTCAACAGAGCATCATTCGTGTGGTTTTCCATGACCGACGTTTGCAGTATACGGAGCACCAACAGTTGGAAGGCTGGAGATGGAGTCGGCCTGGAGATCGCATCCTTGACATAGGTGAGAACATTTCATTATTATATCCTTCCTGCATTAATGTATAACTTTTTGAGCCAGCTTGCATCCTAGAGTCATACATCTCACTGAACAATAGTTCAGTTGAATAATTCTTGAAAGAATAGGTAACAGATCCTAGATTTTTCTAGTATGCATCATTCTCCTACTAGTATATTTTCCATTTTAGCCAAATTCTTTACAAAGTCAGCTTGCATGTCAGCACGTCCACTTTGGTTCTTGATTTGTTTGCTTGCTTTTACACTGTTAGGAAAGTCATTGCAAAGAAAGCAAAATAAGAAAAAAACAAAAAAACCACAGAATCTTTCATATTATTGAACTGGGTGTGTTTTGGTTCAGTCGGCTTTTCAAATGCATCTGGTGATTATATTGCAATGTTTCTGCTCTTCAATTTTAATTTTTTTAAAATTTTAGGGGTTTTCTTCTACAGATATCCCACTGTCAGTTGGTATCTTAGACCCCAGAGCCAGTCCAACACAGCTGAATACTGTAGAATTTTTGTGGGATCCGTCTAAGAGAGCATCTGCATTCATTCAGGTAAGGAGAATAAGTAGTGCAGAAGTAAATATCTTTTTTTAAAAAATGTCATTTTTGTGACCTAATAACCTGTCTTGCACATAAGTCTAATGTGATTAAGATGAGTAAACTTACCAGTTCCCAAGATACAGTGAGAAATTAAGCTCAAATTAAAATAACACTATTTTTATTTTTCTGCAAGCAGAGAGTACAAAAGTGTTTCCCTAATTATCAGTATCTGAGAATAGCTGTGGATATAACCTATCGTGTTGGAGGGGGTTGTAAAAGGCAAATATTCAGATGTAGGGTTGCCAGCTCCCAGAAGCCCCTGCTAGTATGACCGATGGTCAGGAATGCTGAAAGCTGGAAATCCAAACTCTCTAGGGATTTACCTTCTGCCAACCTGACTCACGGAGCACAGCCACCCAAATAAGCATTCACCTTCACATTCAAGTGGGAATGTTGTTTGAAATGGAAAATTGTACAGATGGTAGGTGCCTATTAACAGGCAGTATGCATTCTTTTTCAAAAGCTCCATCAGCTCAGTGTAGAAGTAGCTGATGCTATTTCTTCCTCAACGTTCAATCCATTTCTGGTTCCACTACTGGGTACACTATTTATGTTTTTTGCTTCTTACTTAATAGCCAAATTGCTTATACATTTGATAAAAGTAAAAAAATAAAAAGTTTGGCAGGTATTAGTGGTGCAAATGTAATCCTAAACTGTGGTTTATTTAAAAAGGCTGGAAACAGGAAAACTGTGCTTGGGTGGAGGAGTGGGTGGAGGGAGAACATGACTAATTCCTTGACAGTAGTTAAGGGACTGGCTGCATTTTAAGATTTCTGCTGGCCCTACATGGGAATTGTTAAACCCCTGTACAAATAAATACTTCCAAGTGGGACTTGAATCCTCAACACTTCTCTTTTATCCAGGTACATTGTATTAGTACAGAATTTACTCCAAGAAAGCATGGAGGAGAAAAGGGAGTGCCCTTCCGGATACAAATGGACACATTCAAGCAGAATGACAATGGCGAATACACTGAACACTTGCATTCTGCAAGCTGCCAGATCAAAGTGTTTAAGGTACAGGGGCTTGTGATTTCTGGAAATTTGCTATGGAGACCTTGGGACACCTGATGCAGCCACAAATGGCATTTGTTTTTTTACCTTCTCATTGCGGAGTGGTGGCTTGTCAATGGGTTTGAGTGGAACTGCAGTCTATTAAAAAAGGAACAATTTGTACAGTTTGAATTGGTATATGTTTTAAAAAGCAGTGCACTGTGAGGAAGGGATTTCTTGCTTGTTCAATGAAAATAAATACTAAAATATAATTTGGTTGACAGTACATGCCGTATAATATGCAGGAGAAGGCAGTCAGTCTTTGCTTTAATAAGCAGAATTCTATGCATTATGTGGGAATACATAGGACTAAATGTATTACTGTCTAGGCCCACACTACTTTTGAAACTTGAAAACTTTGGGAAAAAGGCCTTTGTTTCTCATTCTGTAAATTTAATGGATGGGTGGTTTTGACTTAATGAACTATATTCAAAATTAGTCTATGTTTAGTTCCATTTATTTTGGTGGGTCTGTTTAAGAAGCACTAAAGTGGATGCAACCCAGTGAGTCTATGGTATGTAACAGACACATGGGAATTTATAATCCAGTGTACTGGAAATGTCCATGGCAAGGTGGCACTTTCCATCTATGCTGGATATGTTCAAAACTGATATCCAAGTAGATTCCTTACTATGTTCTGTTGAGAAATACAGGATCCATAAGTCTTCATCATAGGTCTTGAGAGGTGTTAGGCTTAAGCTGGAGAGCTCCCTAGTTGGCCACAGGGTCTGGTCAGTCAGTCCAGCCTATTGTACAGTATGATTGTGGAATCCTAATGATGCATGCCACCATGAACTCCTTGGGGAAAGAGTGGGATTAAAGAAAAACTAAAATAGTGGCCTATACAATTGTAGCTGCCAGCATAGTATATGTTGAAAATTAGAAACACAACTGACATGTTCAAGATTTTACCCACAGTAGTAATAAAATGTCCCTTGGGGATGAAGTTCACTAGGTGTCTTGCTCTTTCAGCCTTGTAGGTTTGCTGTGAGGCTAAAGCGGAGTTTTGTAGAAGCTACATTTAAATAAGCTTAGGCAAATGATCCTGGCAACTAATGATTGCTCAAAATTTGATTTATATTTTTAGAAAATTTTCTTAATTTAAAATTGCTTTAATTTTTATTGTGTGATACGAAAACAACCAAACCGCACCAAAAGAAAAGAAACAAAGAGGAAAAAAAAGAAGGAAAAGATGCTTCTGTGGGCCTTTTTCTTTTCCTAAATACTATTCAGATAATGACTGCTCAACATGAATAGGGTGTGTACCTGTAATGGCAGTGGTGATAGGCTATACTGTGCAGAAATAGATCTCCTCACTGCCACCACTTCCCACAGCAGTATGGAAAATGCATTCTTCCCAGTGAAGGGTATCTATTAGATTACACCTCAGTGTTGTGTTTGTTCAGGAATCAAGAGAACTCTTTCTTCAGTGGTCTTTGTAATAAGTTTAAACTGTATCGTCTGTGTCTTTGTATAGCCCAAGGGAGCAGATAGAAAACAGAAAACAGACCGGGAAAAAATGGAGAAGAAAACAACTCAAGAAAGAGAGAAATATCAACCATCCTATGATACAACCATTCTCACGGAGGTAAAATTGTCTTCAAGCTGCAATGCCATGTGGTTGTTTGGCATGATGGGCTACATGTTCAAATTTATGGGAGGGGACAGTGCAGAGAGCATATCTCTCCATATGATGATGTTTACATCCAGCCCGTGCATACATACCTTGACGTGGCGGCAGGACTCTGTGAATCAAAAGTGCATTCAGGATTCCTGCCATCGCTGTGGTATTATCAGCTCTGAGAGCTGCAGGGTCATGACTGCTACTTCAATCCCATGTAGCTGTCAGCATATTTATCTCCACATTCTATGAAACTGTCTCCATATTGTTGCAGACTTGGACCAGCTGGAGGCTGATCATTTGTCTGAAGCTTGGCATACCTTGTTGCATGTTCTGACTGGCCACTTATCTGATTTCTGTGGTAAAAGCTGCTGCAGGGTGTTTTTGAAACCCTCAGCTACCTTTCCCAGACGTGGATACCCTAATGCTTTCCAATGTGGTGGTTTTGGAATAAGAGAGATATCCTCTTAAAAAATGGTGTGCTATTGTGGCACAGGGACATTAGAGAACAACAGAATTGGTGCTCGGAGGTATCTGAGAAGTAGCGTACACATGTCACTCTGAACAGGAGCCTTTGGTTGTTTGTAGCTGCCATCGCGAGCAGAACGAAACTGTCTTTCATGCCAGCACAAATATATGGTTTAAGGCAATATGAATGTTTGGCTCACCACATTGGTAGGGAACCTATTCATAGAATGATTTCAAATTGCCTTATGCCTGGAAAATTTCTGAGCCCAGCTCAGAAATGCGGGTATGAACATTTAGAACCCCAAATGGCCTAGAGGCAGGCCTTGCACATACCTACTCAGACCCAAAGTTCTGTTGAGGTTTTCCTCCAGATGCCTCCGCAAATGAGCTGAATGGCTACCTGAGAGAGGCCCTTCTCAGAGGTGGCAGCCTGGCTCTTGAAATGCCTTTCCAGAGAGGCTTACATTGTGTGGACCCCAGAGAGACCTACAGGGTAGCTCCTTATCACCTATTGGTTCACGCTTTTAACTGTTTTGCTTTAGCTCCTTGCACTGATACTGACTTTACCTTAGATTTCTTCTGCAAGTATTCTAATCTGCCCCAGATTTTACATCAAGCTTCATTTGCATGTTTTACTACATTAACACAAACTTTGTAAATCTTTGGCTATTGGGTAGCATGAAAATGAAGTATGTAAAATAAATATGTTCACTCCTGTGTGTCTGCTAGGAAGTTCTGGTATCATCCTTGTTTTTATTTTTTTTTATTTATTTTCCGATTTATATCCTGCCTTTTTCCTACAAAGGGCTCAAGGCAGCTTACATCTCTTCCTCCATCTTATCCCCACAACAATAACCCTGTGAGGTAGGTTGGGCTGAGAGTCTGTGACTGGCCCAAAGTCACCCAGTTGGCTCCATGGCTGAGCGGGGACTCGAACCCAGATCCTCTGAGTCCCAGTCCCATGCTCTTAACCACTACACCACACTGGCTCTGCAATTTATCATTTTAGTCTTAAAGGGCATACCACTGCAAAATACGGATTAAACAGTAACTTTAACTTCACATTAGTTTTTAAAATAGGAGCAGAAACAGCCTTGCTACTTCATTTATAAAACCTGTTTATATTTTTATATAGCTTATGCAGCTGTAAAATATTGTGTCTTAGCAGTTCAGGGCAGTGAGATTTTACATGTGACCTGATTTTTAAGGGACTGCCAGATTAAGTGACCCACTCTTGACAGGAATAACCTTTAGCATTTGGAAGCAGGAAATGATATGGTCTTTGTTACTAAAGAGTTAAATATTTGCTAAGGAGAGAGATCTTGGGATATGCCACAGATTGCATCTTTTCCATGAGTTGTAAAAGAGGTGTTGAGTTGGTTCCAGATTTAGTAATTCTTGAAGTAAACCTGTTGAAATAAGTCATGAACTGTGTCATGACTAACTTAAGTCTGAGTGATTTCAATGAGTTTCTCTAAGGGTAAATCTGGAACCAACTAATTGACCATATTCAGACATAGTGGCGCTTTTGACTGCAATTTATGAGTGAATTAATGAATTGTGAGGGTGCTTGCAGTTTCTAACATTTGTAGGTTGTTTCTGTGATGTCCAAATCTGAGTACTTGGGATTATTTATAAATTAAACCAAAGTTAACCTGAGAAAAAAGCATAGATTAGCTAGAACTTGTTTAATCTACAAATAACCTCAAGTACGCAGGCTTGAATGTTAGTGAAATGACCCATGAATGCTACATTCATAAGTTGTTCCTGGAAACTGGGAAACGGTAATGTACATTAGCAGTCTGTGGGCTAATTAACCCACAAAATATTCGTGTTGTGTCCAAACAGGACCAGTAGGCAGAATGTTCCTGGGCCTTTGTGGGCCAAAAGGTCATTTGTGTAGTCTTGGTACTCTTCACTGCCAATATTACGTTGGTTCTAAAGAAGAGTAGAAGAAGAAAAAGGTTGTGTTTTGAAAAGGGGGAATGATACAGTTTCATCAGCTTTTCTGCAAACCTCATCTGGTATTCCTTTGATGAAATGGCTATATATTCAAGGGAATTTGAGCTTAAAACAGAGGAAGGGCGGTAGCTCAGTGGTAGAGCGGCTGCTTTGCATGTAGAAGGCTGCAGGACTGATTCCTTACCTCTCTGAGTAGGGTTAGTGCGAAGGTTGAAAGCCTGAGGAGCTGCTGCCAGTCAGTGTTGAAGTTTCTGGGCTAGAAGGACCAATGGTCTGGCAGCTCCCTATGTTCCTAAGAGTGTGAGAGATCATGTTGGATATTACACTTGGCATAAATGTGCTAGGTGTTTGCAAATCAGAAGTGTTTCGGTTCTGTTTGATTTGTAATATTTTAAGGATCCTTACAATCATAGACTCATAGAATAGTAGAATGGGAAGGGGCCATGAAGGCCCTCGAGTCCAACCCGCTGCTGTTGCAGGACTCCATGTTACATCATCCCAGTCAGGTGGCTGTCCAGAGGGAGAGCCCATTAGAGACATTCAAAAAGAGAGCCCTTGAAGATGCTGCTCTTTAGAACTGCTATTACGAATGAAGCGGGCTAAATCTTTATGGCTTTATGCATAACATTTGAATAGGCTTTTGGATTCTGATGTGTGTATGAGCCTATACTAGAAAAAGCAGAAAATTCCTGAACCAGGGTGTATGTTATTGGTAGTGATAAATACATGCATTTTGCTTCTGACAATGCAGTAAAAACTGGTTTGGAAAGAGAATTAGTTTGCAGTTTCTGATTCTTTCAAAACATGTTCTTTCTCAGTGTTCCTAATTTGGATTTGTTTAAACAGTGTTCCCCATGGCCAGATGTGCCTTATCAAGTGAACAACGCTCCGTCTCCAAGTTACAACAGCTCTCCAAACAGTTTCAGCCTTGGAGATGGGTACGTGATAAATATTTTTATCTGTTCAGCTGAGAGCAGAGCTCTAATTTTGTGTGTGTGTGTGTGTGTGTGTGTGTGTGTGTGTGTGTGTGTGTGGTTCTTAATGCTTCCATGTATAAAAGATTTAGACAGCTTAGCCTGGCATTTAGGCCCAGCTTAAGATGATGTACAAGATCCAGATGCATCTCTGCTCCTGTACTATTCCTGCTCAAGTGAAAGGTACTTGCATATGGAACAGTTCCTGACAGTTTGTGCCCAGTGCTGCCTGGAGAAAGTCTTTTGGTTTTATGCTTATTATTATATTTTTATATGTTCTTCCTTCTGGAGGATCAGAACAGCATATTAATGCTCTCATGCACCCCACTCACATGAATTCATATCACAATAGGCTTGTTAGGTAGGTTAGGGTGAGAGATTTTGAGTAGTTCAAGGTCTTTGAGAAAGCATCATGCCTGAGTATTTGGACCTGTGTCTGCTCAGTCCTGGTCCATTCACACAATTTTGATTAAACTAACAGAGGATTAGACTAACAGAGGATTAGATCTTAAAATAAAGCCTTGTCAAAACAGGTTTTGTAGTAAGAAGCAAAAACATGAGCCAAACCCCATAGGATCTTTCGGTGAGATTGGCTTCCATAAGCTTCCTGATGAGTCATGACTCACAGCAAGGTCTTTGAAGGGATTTTATGATAATGATCAAAATGTGATTGAACCTGTCAAATACTGGGATGTCAGGAAAGGTTATTAGTAACAAGAAGCGTATGTGAAGCAAAATTAAAAATTGTACATGTAGAAAATGTGAAGCAAGAAGTGGGTTTAGCGACTTTGTTTTTAATTCTTGCACAGATTCTGCACAAAATCTTTTCTGCAACTAAGCAGCGATTCAGCCTTGGAAGAGTTCAATGGGCTGTTTACGCTCTTGCTGGTTCTTTTATGCCCCACCACTTCCACTGCAGAGGCAACTCCCACCACTTGCGCAACAGCTGTGTAGGCTTCCAGGGCACCCTGAAACAGCAGCTTGACACAGAAGGGAACTGCACAGGCCTGCCTCCTTCCAGAAGGCAGTTTTCTGCACCGTGTGGAGCTTTACCTAAGAAATGCTCTATCTTCCTGGGGAAGCAGCAGGTCCCACTTGTGTAGTCGAATTGGAAAGACCCATGATTTGTGGAAAGGAGTTGGTAGGGCAGAAAGAACTGGTGGGGTTGTAGGTGACCTACTAGACTCTGAACCTATTAATTAAATGCAGGGCAACTGGAAAGGCTCAACTGCACCCATGCGTACCAAGAGTAAATGCTAATAGCTGGCTACTGTTTAGCTATATTACACCAGTGCTACAGTAAAAGTATCCCTGTGACATTTGGGAAAGTAGCTGTTACTGAATTGATAGGCAAATCTTATTTGTAAGGATTGCCCTTCTATACATAACATATTTGTCTCCTTTTAAAAAGGCAGCACATTTTTGACTGCTTTTAATGGAGTTGTTTTACCAGGCAAGGCATTTTTACATTGTCTCTTACCTTTGAAATATTGATAGGTGAATTTTACTTGGCACTTGCTTAGTTTATAACTACTGTCCCCAATTGGGTGTGTATTCCTGGAAAAACTAATCCAAACATAGTAACACCCTGGAATTTTTAGTTCAGAGGAAGCTAACAACATTCTGGAAAACTAGATTTGGAATTGTTCAGCAAACCCAACCAGATGGTTGAGAGCTGGGGGGGGGGGGGGGGGAATTGCTAACATTGCTGATGAAAGACTTAAAATCCTTTTTTCTTTCCCAACTCTGTGCAATTTTTAGCAACAGTTCTCCAACTCATCAGGTGGAGCTCCTGCCTCCCAGCAATGACGTAAGTATTTGAGATCATGTTAATGTGATGCTTTTCTTTTTTAGGACACTGGTGAACAGTTCATTTCAAGACCTTCTTATTCTTTTTGCAATGTAGCATCTCCTTCCCTCTGCTTCTATTCAAGATGCTCAGCAGTGGCTTCATCGAAATAGGTTTTCTCAGTTCTGTAGACTCTTTTCAAGTTTCTCAGGTATGTGTGATGAATCCATTCTTTGAGTAATACAAACCAACCAACAAAACATAACCAGTTTTATTGTGAAGTAGCTGCACATGAAATTGATAGTGTTTTCTCTCAGTTGTACTTTCTTTGTGGGAATGCTACATACTCCCTGTACTTGAGCAACAGCATTTCTGGACCAAAGAAAATGTAGTATTTCTCCCTATCAATCACTGAAGATAGGACATCTGTTGTCATTGTGCAGTACTTAGCAACTGGGAATATAGTTAATCTCAGTAATAATGCCCCCAGTTTTTCTCAGGTTTTGTATAGATGCTTTAAAAAAGAACCAAAAACCTTTAGGAAGTATGTCTTCCTCTTGCATGGGAGGAATGCTATTACATGCATATGTAGATTTTCATGAAATATTTTCAGGTGACTACTTGCAGTGTGTCTCCTCTTCTATCTCCTCTCCTTTTCTAATTTTTATTGATGGTAACCCAGTGCCTGTCTTTACAGGCTGTATTACTACTGCTCTATATAGAGGCTTCTTAATAAATTTTCTGGGGGGCAAAACAAAAGCCAAAAAAAGAAAAAACCAAAAACACTTTCCTTGACATGTGTAGGTGCTGACTTACTGAAGATGTCCAAAGAAGATTTTGTTCAGATCTGTGGTCCAGCTGATGGCATTCGACTTTTTAATGCCATTAAAGGAAGGTATGTAACTTTGTGGCTGTTACAGTGCCACTTGCTAAAGCTATGATTTTTGAGCAGTGCACAAAAGAAAGACTTGAAGGCTCAGCTGCATCAGAAATTCTTGGGGAGGTAGTGACAATAACCTGTCCAGCAACACAGAAAGCACTTTTGCAAGGGTGGGATGCTGTGTGTCTGCTTGCAGTGCCGATGCCCAAGAGAGAATCTTGTTTTGCTTGCAGGAATGTAAGGCCTAAGATGACCATTTATGTCTGTCAAGAACCTGAGCAAAATCGGTCTCATCTTCATCAGAAACGAGAGAATGGAGACAGTAACCTGTGTAGTAAGTGTCTTGTTCTTTTGACAAGGTTTGCAAGCCTTTTGTGAAGTACACAACAAGCTCTGAGCAGATCTAGTTGCTTTAATTAAATGTATCTAATCCTAGAAATATGGGAACCTGCCATGTACTGGTCAGGTAGTGGGTCTGTCTCACACAGCATTATTGACCATGAACTGCAGTCGTTCACAAGGGATTCAGCCACATAGTTCCCAGTCCTGTCTGGAAATTCCAGGAATTGGAACTGGGACCTTCAGCAGACCAACTATGTGCTATACCTCTGAGCGAAGACCTTTCTCTTTGTTAAGTGATGTGTTTCAAAATGTTCACCTCCTCCAAGAGTAAACCCAAAGTCAAATAACATTTTCTGCCACACAAGCAGTACATTGTTTATGGGCTGATTCTGATGAGTCAGTTTTGCCTGGGCTAAAACAGGCATTACTTTAAATCCTTATCTAGCAGTTGCCTTTTTACACTAGAGCGGGTGCAAGGGGGCAATTGGGGACTCAGTTGCCCCCACCCCAGTGCCAGGGTCATGATTCAGATTGGAGGCCTTCTTCCTACCTAGAGGAACAATGAAAAGACATCCTTTGATGCAGATTGAAAGGGGTGGTTCACACAATCAACCCAGTCCAGTAATCCATGGTTTGCTGTAGGCTTGTTATAGCCTCCCCCTGGGGATTGAGTAATTTAATAATGTAAAAGGGCCTCTGGCAAGTTCTGCAAACCAGCTGCAGTGATCATGTGGCTCCGGCCTAAGAACTGCCTGTTTTGCTCCTCAGGAATGAGGAGATACGAGGGGATGTGTTGTCCACCATTATGTGAGTCTAACCCTGGGCAGGCAACATTTTCTGGGCCAATTCAACTTTTCGCAAAAGTACCTTACCAGTCCAAATTGCAATAGGAAGTAAGAGGTTGGGAGTTCCTCCTTCTGAGGATATTCACTTTTCTTGCCTCCATCACAGACTTTTTTTTTTTTTGAAGTTGGAGCATCAGGGCAGTGAATTTGCTGCATGGGAAGCCTCCCTCCTCAGAAAACAGCTGAAGCAGGGAGGAAGTCCAGCTCCCTCCAAGGACTGCTCTGCCCCAAGCATCCCTGTTGGGGAATGGGCTTTCTCCCAGCTACTTTTCAGCAGGACACCTTTTCTCCCACTGCTAGTAAGGTCTGTACAGCAAACGTGTACAGTGTTATGAAGTCCAGATCTGGAACTCTGCATTGATTTCTGGGTTAAGCAACTCAGAAATCTCTCAGCAGTCTTCGATGGTTTGCTGTTAACTGAGTGTTGTGTTCAGACATTATGATGATAACCCAGGAATGCCCCATTCCTGGGGTACGGACTGAAAGTGACAAGTGTGCAAGAGGCAATGCACTCAATAGTTTTTCGTCGTGGCCTCTGTGCATCACACATATGGGTTCTGCGCCTGCGCAGTGCCTTTGGCCGGAAGATTAACAGCTAACGGTTTTTGGTGGGAACTCCACTCCCCCTCCTCCCTAGCATTATATAAGGAGCGGAGTGTCCGCCATTTTCCAGTCTTTGCGACCGCCGTTTGTTGTGCCTAGTGCCGCTTCGCTCTCGCTCAGATTGTTATTTACCTTCTTGCTCGTTCAAAAATCTCCTTTTTTCTCTTACCAAGTGTTTATATCCCTTGTTCTTGTTAGTATTTCACTTATATTTCTTTAACTTTGCACCATTTTTTCTTCTTTATCGTTCCTATAAAAAAAAAAACCCAAAAATATTACTTTCCCACTTTACTATCTCCTTTTCTTCTTCTTTCTACAATGGCGCAACAGGCAGCATTCCGCAAGTGCGGAAAATGCAGTTCCAAAATGTCCGCCGCGGACCCGCATGTTCTGTGCCTCCTTTGTTTGGGAGAAGGGCACAGAACCGATAAGTGCGGTCATTGTTTGGCCTTCTCTAAACAGGCGAGGAAGAACAGGGAGAACTGCCTCCACAAACTCCGTTGGGATCAGGCTCTCCTCCAATCTGATCGGCTGGTGGCTAAGCCTTCCACTGTTGTGGCCCCACCTGAAGGCCGTCCAACTTCGGCTGACCTGCCGCAACGTTTGGCCTCTTCCTCCATTGCTCCACCCTCACGCCCTTCTGAAGAAGGCGCTAAGGCTATGGCCGATCAGTCTGTTTCCTTGCCGAAGAAGCAAAAGGAAAAGAGAAAGCACATCGACTCAGATAAATATCCTGTGCAGAAGAAGGCCAAGAAAGATATGACGGGCAAACCGGTTAAGAAGCTGAAGAATCCTGAGCGGGCAAAACACCATCACTCGGGCTTGGCCTCTTCCTCGATTCCAATACCTACTTCATAACTGACCCCCTCAGTCCTGACCATCCAGGCGGCTATGAGGGTTACCCCACCGGGCTCACCGCGCCGGCCGGCAGCCGAACCCGTTATGGATTCGTGGAGGAGTTCTATCTCTGATGGGGAAATACGAGACTCCCCACCTAGGGCTCGATCACCAACCCCGATGCCTCCGATCCCAATGGATACTGAGATTGCCATCTCCCCTCCGAGAAGCCGTAGAAGCCGTTCCTTGGATGTGAGGTCTGATGATTGGTACCACTCCAGGTACTCCTCTGCTCCGAGACGGGAAGAGTACCACTCTACAGCCTACTATCCAACCTCTAGGGGACAATCTTCACCATTAGCACCTCGGCAGCGTTTCCATTCAACGCCCAGAGACGCCCCAAGGGCACCATCTAGAGAGAGTGGTAGATTGGAGTCTCCAGGAGATTCTTCCTCCAGTATACTGCCCCCCTACTGGATGGAATCCGAAGAGTCTGAGGCTGACTAAACCTCTCCGGATGCTGTAGTTGCTTCCCAGGGCCCGGGGTCGCCCGAGGAACCGTACATATCGTTTAACGATCTGATGGCCAGACTAGTGAGATCGCTCGATATAGAAGCCCACCAACAGCCGGGACCAAGCACCGATAGTTTTTATGATGTGGTTAGAGGTGAACGATCCACATCTATTGCCTTGCCGTTATTACAACCTTACGGCAGGCAATGACCCAGCAATGGGACCTCCCAGCTAATCCACAACCGACCTCTCGTAAATACGAGTCCATGTATCGGGTGCGGGAAGAGGACATTCGGTTGAATTCTGAAGTCGAATTCGGTTGTTGTAGAATCCTCGCAGGGTCGGGAAGCCCGTGGACACACCTCACCTCGTGACAAAGAGGGTAGAAAGGTTGATTCTCGCCTGCCGGGTATACACAGCTTTGGGCCTTGGTTTAAGAATCTCCAATTACAAAGCAACCCTGGCGCATTACCAGTATTTCCTGATGCAACGCCTGGATCAATACTTTTCCGGGAAACCAGGGTGAACTTGCTAAGACTTTTGTTAAGGAACCTATGCAAGTGGCGGTGCAACAACTTTCTACCGCAAGGCACCACGTGGACTCTGATTCGAGGTCGCTGGTCGGTGCAATTTCCCTCCACAGGCACGCCTGGTTGCATAATTGCAATTTTCCGGATGAGATGAAGCGGAGAATTGAAGAGATGCCGTTCGACGGTTCCAGCCTCTTCCATGCAAGGACGGACAGCAAATTGAAGAAAATCCATGAATCAAGGATGACCGCCCATTGTATGGAATTCCAATCTCTACCCCGACGTAAGTGGTCATGGTCACGTCCACAGTACCGTCAACAGTTTCCACCTTGGCAGCAGCAACCGCATCAACGTCAGCAGCGTCGCAGGCAACAACCGCCACAGCACTTCCAACAGGGCCACCGCCGTTTCGATACGGACAGGCGACAGCGCTTATGTGACGAGCGAACCTTTCCTCTCATTCCAACTTCCCCCTCCCCCCTCTCATTTGGGGATTGACTGAAGAGTCGACTCTCCATTTGGGAGTCCATCACATCTGATGGATGGGTGTTATCTATCATCCAGCACGGATATGGAATTGAATTCGACGTTGTACCATCACCGAATCCTATTCGAGATACTCCGACTTATTTGGTACTGTTAGACGAGATTCACCAACTCCTCGCTAAAGGAGCTATTCGTCGCCTGTCATTATCGGAAGGATTCCATGGATTCTATTCCAGACACTTTACAGTTCCGAAACAAGATGGGGGTCTAAGACCAATATTGGACTTGAGAGCTCTCAATACATTTATAACACCAAAGAAGTTTCGGGTGACTACACTTCAAAGTATTCTTCCGTTGCTGGGAAGAGGGGATTGGTTCACCTCATTGGATCTGAAGGATGCCTATTTTCATATTTCAATACATCCAAGTTATAGGTGTTTCCTTCGTTTTGCGGTGGACTCTGAAATCTACAATTCAATGTGCTACCGTTTGGATTGGCCACTGCACCAAGAGTTTTTACGAAGTGTATGGCCCCTGTCTGTGCACACCTTTGATTACGTGGAATTTGGATATACCCGTACCTTGATGATTGGTTGCTGGTCGCCGACAGAGAAGCAGGACTTTCGTCTGCTGCTGAGTTTACGTGTGCTCTATTGCACGATTTTGGACTCTGTATTAATCAACGGAAATCTTCCCTCTCCCTACACAGGTGATCAACTTTATCAGAGCCCGACTGGATTCAACGTTGGCAAGAGCCTTCCTTCCTCAGGACAGACGACATGCGATTGCTCATTGCATCGCTCGGATTCGACAAACAAGAACTGCTCCCGCCCGGTCTATTCAGAGTCTGTTGGGTCACATGTCTGCTTCCATTGCTGTGGTTCCACACGCCAAACTCAGGCTACGTCCCCTTCAACTGTTCTTCAACGGGGCGTTTCGACCACAGATGGATCCCCCTACCAAACGGATTCGACTCCTGGCTTCCATCCTTCAGTCCCTGTTATGGTGGATAGACCCAGCCAATCTAACCGTAGGCGTTCCATTCCGACCCCGGTACCCTACAATAACCCTCAGTACTGATGCATCTCTACTGGGATGGGGAGCAATCTGTTCCGATCTACGTACCCAAGGGATATGGAGTCAGCGGGATTGCAGGAACCATATCAATTTCCTGGAACTTCTTGCCGTTTTCAAAGCCCTTCAATCATTCGAGGATGTGCTTCTGCACCAGGTCGTCCAGGTGACCTCAGACAACATGGCGACAGTCTTTTATTTAAACAAACAAGGGGGAACCCGATCCCGGAAACTAGCCCACCTGGCCATGCAGATTTGGGACTGGTGCATACCGAGAGGTATCACTCTTGTAGCAGTTCACCTAGCGGGCACGGAAAATACAGACGCCGATCTCTTGAGCAGACATATGTCGCGGTCCCACGAATGGGAGCTAGACCATCGGGTTCGCGACATGCTATTTCACCGATGGGGCCAGCCAGACATCAATCTGTTTGCCACACAACGGAACAGGGCATGCACGGCATATTGTTCCAGAGCGGGAGTGGGTCAGGACTCCCTCGGGGACGCTTTCATGATTCCCTGGACAAACATGATTTTTTATGCTTTCCCTCCGATCCCACTCATCATGAGAGTGTTGGCAAAGATCATTCACGAAGGGGCCACAGGGATACTGATCACCCCCTGGTGGCCACACCAACCATGGTTCCCAACTCTCCTTCACTTCTCCAGAGAAGAGTTTCTTCAACTCCCTCTTCTTCCTTATCTCATTACCCAGAGGGAGGGTGCAATCCATCACCCGGATATGCTATCGCTGAAACTGACTGCATGGAGGATACAATGATCGCCTCTGATACAATGGTATCGACACCACAAACTGTTCCAACTATTCCTGCTCAGCAGAGTCTACACCCAGACCTACAGTATATCCTCGAATCTGCGCTACGACCATCTACTAGGAAGTCGTACGCGGCAAAATGGCAGAGATTCTCTAACTTGGCCAATTTACACTCTTTTCTGGCCCCTTCAGCTTCTGTTTCACAGATACTTCAGTTTCTCTTTGAATTGCATCAGTCTGGACTCAAACCCTCGTTCATAAAGGTTTATACAGCAGCAATTTCACATTATCGAGGAACTATACATGGCCTCTCCATCTTTGCTCAACCTCTGATTAAAAGATTTTTAAGAGGATTGAGTAATCCACATCCAACTATAAGACCTCCAATGCCCACCTGGAGTCTTTCGGTGGTTTTACAAGCACTGACTTGACCACCTTTCGAACCCATGGTGACGATCGATCTATGCCTTGCTTCATGGAAGACGGCCTTCCTTGTTGCAGTAACTTCAGCCCGTAGATCATCTGAACTCTGCGCCCTTCGGGTAGACCCCCCCCCTTCCTAAATTTTCATAAAGAAAAGGTGGTTCTTCGAATGGATCCGTCTTTCCTTCCGAAGGTCGCTACTTCGTTTCACATGTAACAGGAGACTGTTTTACCGGCATTCTTTCCGACCCCTTCGAATCTGATGGAACGATCTCTGCATATGCTGGACGTTCGTCGTTGCTTAGCTTTTTATAGGTCCAGGACTGAGTCTGTTCGGCGTTCCAATAGACTTTTTGTGAAATATTCGGAACATGATCGGGGTTGCCCAGTCACCTCACGTCTTTCGAAATGGATAGTAAATACAATTGTCCTATCTTATCAGTTGGCTAAGTTGGACTTACCATCTACTCCAAGAGGCCATTCTACAAGAGCTGTCGCTGCTTCTTCGGCCTTTGCATCAGAAGTCCCGATAGAAGACGTGTGCAGAGCGGCCATTTGGGCTACTCCGTGTACCTTCGCCAGACACTATAGACTCGATGTCCGTGCCAGACAGGATTGCTCTTTTGGCAGAGCTGTTCTTTCTTCTGTCCTTCGTTGATGACACCTCCCTCCTCCATTTCGGGTAAGCTTGCTATTCTACCCATATGTGTGATGCACAGAGGCCACGACGAAGAAGAACAGGTTGCTTACCTGTAACTGATGTTCTTCGAGTGGCCATCTGTGCAGTCACACAACCCACCCGCCGGCCCCGCTTGGTGTCATGGGTGGTCCGATTATTTTCTGCGATACTATGATATCTTTTTTCCTATGTGTCGTACCACTACTGAATTTGGATTTCTTGTCATTCTGACGGACCTTTTATTATGCAACAAATGCCAGTCTTTCAAAGACTGGAAAATGGCGGACACTCCGCTCCTTATATAATGCTAGGGGGGAGGGGGAGCAGAGTTCCCGCCAAAACCCGTTAGCTGTCAATCTTCCGGCCAAAGGCACTGTGCAGGCGCCGAACCCATATGTGTGACTGCACAGATGGCCACTCGAAGAACATCAGTTACAGGTAAGCAACCTGTTCTTGTTGCTTGCCTCTGATGATTCCTGGGGTAAACATCTCATTTTATGACATGTGCACTGGGCTATTGACTACCTCATTAAAATGCAGTAGATACTCTGAGTGGGATGGCTTCTTTCTATCATCAGTGTGAGCTTAAAACAGAAGGGGAATTCATACTGCCCCTGGCCTGGGTTCCTGGCTTGTGCTAAAACAAATGCATGAGGTGAATGGAGGCAGTTTACATCTGCCTTGGATGTGTGGATATCCTAGGGGCAAGTCTAAAAGTTTACCTTCTCTACAATACCATTGCAGTATACCACGCTATCTTCTTAGAAGAGCTGACAACCCTGGAACTGATGGAGAAGATTGCAAACTTGTACAGTATTTCCCCGCAGCAGATAAACCGGATCTATCGGCAGGGCCCTACAGGGATCCATGTATTAGTGAGCAATGAGGTAAGAATGCAACTAAAATGCATCCATTTGTCCTTTTTTGTATTAAACAGAATAACCTTTTAGCATAGTGGATTGTATGTTCTCTCTGCTCAGGATTGTTGAGCATTGAAATTCTAAACTACAATCCTATTCCCAGTTTCCAGAAGGTACAGTCCATTTAATTAAATTAAATTGGACATTATTTTGAATATGTCTTGCATTTATTTGTGTGTGTGTGTGTGTTAGAAATGGGGATTGTTATATGGATATTTGTAAAGCTTGTTCTGTTTTCCTATCTATAATTCCTTAAGGTAGAAATGGATAGGAGAGAAAGAAAAATAGCTTGTAGGGATCCAGAATTTATCTGTTTTGGTTTCAAGAGACTAATTTAAGGCTAAGAAGTTTGCCACATGTTAACTTTGCAATGAGACAAGCACTTAATGTAAATCATTTTTTCTATTTTTTTTAACTTATGCAGATCTTTATTTGAATTGGCAAAGAAAAGTTGGCTAAATCTATAGCCAATGACAGATTGGAACGAGAGGCAAATAGCATGCTTATCCCTAGTTACTTTTGGTCATCTAATCATTATCAGCCTATAAAGTACAATTCTGAAGCCTCCATTGAATTTAAAATTGACTAGTTTGAAAGCTTGTGTTTGGCTTAAGTGAGTAGGATTTTGCTGGGTCCAACTTCTAGTGGTCAACAGACTTCAGCACCACGAACAGTTCCTCCTGCCTTTGACCTTATGATTCCTGCAATAGGTCCCCCCTCCCATTTTCAGTTTGTACATTTACCACCATAGTTTCCATTGCCTAAAGATCAAAAATAGTAGATGTAGCTCGTGCACATAAAATACATCAATTGCTCAGTGCAGCCATATTTTTCATGGTAAAAGTAATATCCTACAACTTATGCTCACAACTAATTTTATTGCAAAAGACTAAACTTCCTTATTCATACTGATATTTTTATGAATTTCTGTGATCTCTATCTTGATGTGTGCCAAGTGTGACTCTAGCTTGATTTTTCCGTCTTACCAATTTTAAGATCAGAATTGAACAGTTGCCCTAACTGTCTGTGTATGTCATGTAAAACAAAAGGAAGATGTTCTAGCTTTACAAAATGAAAGCATTTTCTATGTCATGTAAAACAAAAGGAAGATGTTCTAGCTTTACAAAATGAAAGCATTTTCTAAAGGAATGTGAAAACAAATGGCAGCACTTCATAGGTTGGTGATGTAACTTTTGGAACTACTTGATGAAAAGTGTAGATCATTTCCTTTATCACATAGTAACTAGTCCAAATTTTAAAATGAATAATGATAATGAAAATCTAATATTTATTTGAGCTATCACAATATTCAATCATACTCCAAATCTGGGTATCCTAAAATAATAATTGCTGTTGCTGCTGTTATTTTATGGGAATGATCAGTTTGCAAAATAGATAAATCCCTATTAAGGAAACTAATTTCAGTTACAAAATCTACGCCATTGTTTAATTTTGCCCCTTTTACTAGGTGTAGAGTAGGGAGAAGGAAAGATCTGATTTTGGATGGCAATATGTAAAGACTAAAATATCTAAAGAACTGAAATAATGAGGCATTTACTAAACATTTTGAACCCTGATAATCCATGCATTTTCTTGAAGGCACCATTCTCTTTGGGTCAAATGAGCTCAAGACTCCCATTTGTTTCCTTTCAACATTTTCCACAAATACCTCGTTTTGTTTCTTCATATGTTCATACCCCCACTCTCTTCCACGTATCCCCAGTCTGCTGCCTGCTATAGAATCACTTAAGAAACCTCATTACATATGACCTCTGGAGAAGAGTTAAAGTGAAGAGTGAAACTCCCAGCGCAGCTTTCATTATTCTGAAAGTCTCCCCACTGTTTCGCCCTGATGAATCTGAAACCTTCAACGTTTGAATAGTCATGAACTGCTTTAAGGCAGCCTCAGGAAAAGGGAATTACCTCGACCAGGTTTGGTGGAAGGAGGCCCTTCATTAAATACTCGAGTTACTGATTAACCACGGCGATTGCCCAATTTCTGTGTTCTAGTGGCAGGGCAGTGAAAATGATGCAAACAAGAGGCACCAAATGAGTGTTCTTCATGCATCATTAGTAGTGTGTGTATGTGTGTAGGGCAGCATTGTTGACCTTAATATGGTGGCTATTTCTGCGTATGGAAGTGGTTGTGGGAGGAAAAACTTCAAATGCTTAAGCACACTATTGTGGCAAAGAAAATTTAATATAAAAATAGAGATGGCAGCTCCTGTTGCCTGCGATCCACATAACACATAGCAAAACCTTGGGTTGAACATATTTTGTCATGGGTTAGATACTAGCTTGGCTTGTATTTCCAAGCATTTATGAGCTATTACTTTTAGGTCCAGGTAGCTGCATTATATATTTGCTCCATGGCAAACGACATCATTAAATGATGCCCCAAATCAGAATATTGTTTGGGAATGTTGTGAAGAAATGTCACTGTTGATGTCTTATAATGTTTAAAGACTCTACATAACCTCTGTGAGTCTATAATGTGTTTAATTCAGGGTGACTTGTTGAGAAGGGGAAGAGATAGATTGATAGCTTTTAATTTTTATAGATGGGTTTGGGTAAATACATTGTTTATTGATCTGAGAAATATCAGATTCTGACTGGTAGTGATTTCCAGTTAGGTGGAAAACAAAATGACAATGGACAGTTAAGAAATGGTTGGAAAATGTCAGTTAACAGGGAGTCAGTTGGTGGTCAGTGAGATGGCTGGTTGTGTGAGAAGGGGACTTGGGAAGAGCTGAGGGGAAAGTGAATGGCTACAGCTGAATAATAAGCTGTTTCTTGACTCTGCATTGCTGGTGACAGTCAAGAAAAGGGAACAGAAAGCTTACCAAGGCAGGGCCAAGAAGGAGGTGTTAATTGACCAGATAAACTATCTAGGAGTAGCTCTGGAGTGAGAGAAGGACTGTACCCAACAGCTGGACCTGGTTTGGGGTATGTTTGACTGGGCTGGATGCTTAAAGAATTTGGCCTGAGGGGAATAAAGTGATTAAAGGTGTATATTAGCCACTGTGTCCCTTGATTCCTCAAGCAGTGTCAGCAGCATTCTTTTGAAAATCCCCAAGTCAGTTGTGGTACACTCTTATGCATCAAATATTCCCTTAATAAACCATGTAATAGCGCACCCTGTCTCTAGTGTTGGTGCCCATCTCATGCCGAAGCAGCTGATACCAAGCTGCTAGGTGGTTTGAAAGTACTCTAAGAGAACTGATAGCAGCAGAAAAGGGTTGGCTTGCAGAGCTCTGAGTTACTGTAACAGGGTATCCCTGGAAAATAAGCTTTTGCTAGGAAAACAAAAATTTCCATAGGTAAGGTTGCCCAGTGAAGGAGCAATTTCCCCATAGATGTCCTGCCTCTGTACTTCAAGGCCTAAAGTGGACTGGGTTTGCATGACACAACAACCTGTTGTGGGTAATTAGACATGATGGGGGTTCGTGTCATCTGGCTGAGAGTGCTTCCTTTGGGGAAGCTTATTCCAGGACAATAAGACATCTTGACAACCTGTGGCTTGTTTTAGAGGTTGTTCAACCTTTGATGGGTTGTTGCGTTATCTGAACTCTGGACACTACTTTCATCATAGATTATGGAAGAACTGGCGAGCTACTTTGCAAAAGCATCAATCTTGTACCTCCACCAGTGACAACTCTTCCACCAATGTCCCAGCTGCCCTTTGGAATGACCATTTTATTTTCATTTGTTGAGCCCCGCGAATGTGTGCAAATGTCCTTGTAATATTTTTTTGGGGGGGGGGAATGGTCTTTTTTGCAAGCGTGCACTTAGGGCTTTCTGGCATCAACAGCCTTGCCTGATTGGCATCCTTGGAAGTTTTAGCTGTCAGGAGCAACACAGAGGAAAATTGGGAGGACAAGACTGAATATAAGCAAATTTATACATTGTTGCAGAGATGTCAATTGAAAATCACCCGTGGAGGTGGAAAAAAGCTGGAGAAATAATATACCAGAAAAAGGGCGGTGACAAGCTCCCTCCCACAGGAAAACAATCCTCTTAATTTCAGGTGTTATACTGACAGTTCAAGTATTATGCAGACACTTTTTCATGTCCCCAGCTCCACCAGAAATTGTAGAAATGCCCCTACCGCCCCCCCCAGCCCTGGTTGCTTTCGGAGAACTGAATGTTAGTCACCATGGTTTCCTGATGGGTCTGTTGTAAAATAGAAGGGGGGGAAACGCCTCTGAAAAGGTGGCTGAGTGGGATGGAGCCTAAGCATATGTTGCTGAGATGATCACAGGTAAATGATCACATTTCCACTGCATTCCTGGCCACTAGTCTGAAGAACTGTATAAAAGCTTACACAGTTCTTTCGACTGTCCTATTGTAGCAGTTCGCTTGTAACTTAACTATCTTGGATATAACATGCTTATAGTGAGGTGCTGCAATAAAAGAAATAAAGGCTTCGTACTTCTTAGGATCAACCACTCGCATACCCCAATATACACTTTTTGGATGTGTTACTGCATTACCAACACCAGATCTTCAGGAATGTGTGATTCACACATAGGATAAGAAAGTTGCATGGATGTTTCTCGGTCTCTAACATGGTATAATTTATAGCTTCTTGCATTTTTAATCACTTTCATCATATTGAATGAAGCTTGGGAGGACAATGTGGATTTTTGGTGGTGGGAAAATGTATCTTGTTTTTAACAGTGCACTTAATTTGTGTCTCCATCCAGATGGTACAAAACTTCCACGATGAATCTTGTTTCGTCATCTCTACATTAAAAGGTATATCCACATACATATCTTGCCACACTTTATTGTTTTTTCCATGATTTCACCAGAGTAAGGAGATCAATTTTGACAGATATTTTAAAAATACTTAAAGAGATAAACAGAATGGTGCCTGTTTGATTGTAGAATAGAAGGTGATGTTCATCTGGCTCAAAGTGTGGAATGAAACTTCTGAAAGCAAATGGGGTTAGCTTCCCACAGATGCTTTACTTTGAGTAGCAGTACTACTTGGGCTGTAGTTCAACAGTGTGAATGCACAGCAGCCGGATGGCAGCTGCAGAACCCTCTTCAGAAAGCAATAATAATTATTTGTAGAGGTGAGTGGAAGAGCACATGTTACTGCAAATGTTACTGCTTTTTGAAGAGGATTCCATCTTTGTGCAAGCTGGATCAGGAAGAATGATGGAGTCTTGCAGTGCCCAAATGCACATCTGGTCACTTAGCCACCTAAGGATGTGTAAACCTGGTTCAAACACTATGGATTAAATCACCCATTGTGAGTTAAGGCCATGCTTGAGCAAATAAGCTCCCTGCTTTTTGCCTGCACACCCCTTCCACTTTGCATCAGAAACAACCCAGGAACATTTTGGGCAGCTTGACATGATGTGTGAACTGAAAAGTCCAGGTTGATAAGGAAAGAACAGCCCAGACTTTCAATTTTTGATTTATTATTAAAATTCTGGGATACTTGCCCCTCAACTACTCAGAGTTCTGAGTTTGCACATTGGATCAGACAAACTAAGACTGTTGCATCCTTGGGCTTTTTATGAAAGCAGAAGACATTCTGGCAATTCATGGACAGGACAACCCATGTTTCATGGGTGAAACACCCCATGAATTGGTGATAACATATGAACCAGATCATACACAATGTTTCAAACACAAAATGGTTCCTAAGTGGGTTGAGTTTGTAGTCTGCTTCAGGTGAGAGGGAGCTGCAAGTGACTTGTTGAGAAAATGACATGATAGCAGAGCGCTTCTTGTTCAAGACTGATATGTGTCCCCCGGCAGGTTCCAGATCTATTGCATGTGGTGGGAAAAGAGAAAGCAATGGCTAGAAATCTTTCATATTCATGTTTTATTTATTCCTTTTTATTTAAAACTTATTTTATTGTTAATTTATTATGTATTTATAGGTTTTAAATTTTTCAGCCAAGATGTTACCAGGTTTTTTAAATTTTTAATTGTATTAATTTGTTGTTTATATGTTTTAATTATGTTGTGAGCCGCCCTGAGGCTTTGTTGCGATGGGGGCAGCATGGAAATGTTTTAAATAAATAAATGTGTGTACACCAAGCTCTGCACTTTGTGTCACCTTTGGGGACACTAGAGCAGAGGGCAGCTGGTCAGCCAGTTGGCTGGCTGGCCGGCCTGCCATCTTCTTATACTACTGAAAGGACAATTTGAGAACCACCCTATTCTGTTGTCACACACATGGACATCATCTGAGATCCTCAATGTCTGATTTTTCTTGGCCAAATTATGAAACTCCTCAAATGTTCATTCAAGCATCCCAGAGTATCCTTTGTGACTGACAGTAAAAATGTTTATTAACCTTTTCATGTTCACTGTTGTCATGTTCCCTCTCTCCCACACATCATGCCAAACTACTGATTCCTGTCATTTCACTAAAATCATTTGCATTATGAGGCATTCTACATCCCAGAGCTGTGGAATGCAAAGATGACCTTCCTGTATATGCAAAGGGGGTGTTTTTATAGTCTCTTGTGCAGTCTCCTGTTGTGCAGTCAAACATTTTTCATCACCTGTGAGAGCAGACTCCAAAGACCGCACTAAAACACTGATGTAATTTTTCTTCTCTTACAGCTGAAAGTAATGATGGCTACCATATCATTCTGAAATGACCCATCTCTCTATATAAGGGGACTTTGAACAGCTTTACAATCCGATGCCTCACCCCACGTTACTGTGACCCAGACTGGAAATATTGAAAACTCAGTTGGACAAAGTGTACCTTCTAACTGAATGCCCTAATGAAAAATTTAAAGTGTGTAGATTTCAAATTGCTGGGAAGTAGAGAAAGTCTAGTTTTCTTCTTCCCTTTCAGGGCTTATTAGCTTTATGGTATTTTGGTTCATTATTCAAAATCATGTGCCTTGTTAAGAAGATCTTAATACAAGCAAGTGTAAAAGCACGTCTCCCAAACTACCAGGGTCCAGAGTTGAGGGCTACTCATTCTGGAAACAGATGTTATTTTACCTTCCCCAGTTAAAATATTGTTTCCCCTTATGCTTTCCTCTCTTTTTCCAGGTGGTGTAGAGCATCCAGTCAGCTTTGAATGCTTATAGTTAATTTGTATTGTTTGTGTTCCCTCTGAAAACAAAACTATCATTCTCTTAAGATCCTTCCATGAGATAATTGTTCCCTGTTGACTTTGACAAAACATCAGGCAGAAAACTACTCCCTCCCTCACCATCTTTTTGGGGTTTTCTCCTATATAACTAGAACCTACTTTTGCATTTTAACTATCCCCCCTCCCGCCTGCTTCTCATGACTAAAGGGCTTCTAACTGAAAACAGGGCAGGTTTTCTCCTTGGCTGAATTATGGTCCTGTTTGCCCCCCAAAGTGCCCTGTGATCTCCCAGAGAAAGAAAGGGGGCTGTCCTGAGCAGGCAGGAGTAGCAAAGGCTTCCTCTTCCCTGCATCCCAGGTTGCTGTTGCCCGTGGGACTCGGGAGCGAAATTTGCCTCTGGAAGAAAATGAGCAGGTTGCATGTGGGGGTGCGGCAGTCTCCTCATGCAGACTGATATGACGGCTGATCAGGGAATGGTCTGACTAGGGATTTGCTCAAGAGCTGTGGCTTACTTTTCCCTTGAGGGATGAATTGGCTCCATTTAAATGTAGAGCAAAAAGCTACAAGTTTGGATGGGGTTTCCACTCAGGGTCTTACTGCAGAGTCTCACTTTTCCCCACACACATCCCTGTGGAAGTGGCCCCTTGCTTCTCTTCCTAAGCTCAAAAATAGTAGTGCTGCTAAGAAGAGACGGAAAGGTGGGGGAGCAACTTGGCAAGCCTTGGGTTCTATCTGTCCTGCAAACGTGTCTCCTAAAGCTCCTAAGCTAACAGGGCATATGCTGTTTCCAGCAACATGTATGCATTAGATACTGTCTATTCTTGTGAGGGTGAGATTGTACCTCTTCTGTTACCATTTGCTCTCTTTGAGTAAAAATATGTGTGTGGATAGCATAAAAAAGATGCCAGCAGTCTGAATTTGAAGTCTCCCATAACTTCAGGAACTGTTTCAGCATAGCTGTGAAGCTGTCAGTGAAATTATGTCTATCTCAGAGATTTTTCAGAAGTATAGTTAACATTAAAGCCAAAGAGTGAATATACTTCTATGATTTGTATTCTTTCACTAGAAGGTATAGGAACCTGAGGCTAAATACAGAAACATACTATCATGCTCAGTCACACTCTAATTCAGCTGTTGGGTATGGACATTTCTCTTACCCAAATGACCTCCTAAGGAACTTCAGAGCATGAATAGGATCTCACAAGACCCAACCATTTTTTTTCAACTAGGAAGTTGGAACAGCAGTCATCTGCCCTATTGGCAAAATAAGCCGTCTTTGCTAATCTTGAAGGCTTTCTGAATGACACGGTTGTGCCTTTTCACCTCCTTTGTCACAAAGCAGGCATTAAACAGCATGAACTCTTCATGTTAAAATATTTCTTAGTTACTTTGAAAATGCCATGAAGCTGGACAGATGCGCACAAGGTGCTGTGTGTACGTGAACTGATCCAATGTGCGCGGTGAGTGTGCAGAAGCAGGCTTCTGTGCATAGATTTCTTGCTGGATCAGGAACTGTGCACATGAAAGCGCACTGGGCATGTAGGACCTGTGGCTGGAGACCTGGGTGGAGCACCTGTGTCCTATAGAGCTGCTCTCCAGATTAGGACTTGTGTACGTAGAGCAGCCCAGAGGTCTAATTGCCCCGTCTGTCGCTTCCTGGCATCTGTTCCTGGGGTGCAGATAGTCAGACCTGCATGTGCAGTGCAGCAGTGCGTGGAGCCCCTTAGGTGGGAGCCTTCGTGTGTTGCCTTCTGCTGGCTCTTAAAGAGTGAAAGAAACTTTAAAATGGCTACACTCCCTGAACAGTTTTGACAGGTACTGATGTCACAAAAGAGTGTATCCATGATTCAAAATTATATTTAGCACATTTGTAACGGCTTGGGTGTGTTGCATTTCACAGAAATATGAATGCTGTACTCTTGGTAAAGATAATCCTGGCTTCTATCTGCTTTTTCAATTATTGCTTCTTAGCAGATGGGTAGTTAAATGTAGTTTGAAGAAATAGGCTGGATTAGCCTTGGTATCTCAAGTAAACAAATGCAAAGCTATCTGTGACAGTAGCAAAGCCTTTTCCCAAGCTTATTTGTACCTCTTAACTGCTGAGCTTGAATTCCTATAGCCCTCCAAAGGAAGATGGCAGAGGTTGATTGGGTGGTGTTGGCATTGATGCTTTAAGTGCCTCTAAACCTACATTGAAAAATGTTATTTACCAACACACCAATACTCTGTTTTACTTGTCGTAGTTTGGGAGAAACCATGTGAACTTGGTATTGGGACTGAAGCCTTCAGTATGCGCAAGAAAGATAAATGGGCTGTAATACTTCTTAATAGGCTTGTTTCTCAGGAAAAGTAGCGTTAAATGAGTGCCTAACCCTTTTTATGTATGTCAAATTAATATGTGTGTTTTGGTTTTGCACCCACTTTTGTCTGGGGGGAGGGGGGCGCTCCTAATCTAGTTTTGATGTTTATTTTTTTTCCAATTGATTGGGGTAGATGTTTCTGTCTTTCAAAAGGGCTATGGGTGTTTACTTCTTTCCACCTATATAATGCGACAACCATTTAAATTGTGATTCAAATGAAGGATGAATAGAGGGGGATGGAAGGGAGGCCGAGTATAAGAATTGTGAGTAATACTGCCTGACATTTTTTATATATTTTAAAAAGTTTTTTAATGCATATTTTGCACTGGCCGTTCTACTGTTGTACAGAAGAAAAGACACTGCTGTATTTAGACTCTGTGCTCCAGTAAAAAATGCAAATAAACTTGTTTTTAAGAAATACATGCTTTTGGAGTGAGTGGACTATTTATTTCAGCCTTATGAGGCTACATCAACATTTGTAGTGGTTCCTGCTTGTCTTTATTTATTAGATTTATATCCCGCTTTTTTTCTTACAATAAATTCAAAGCAGCTGACATCATTCTTCTGCTGCTGCTCTCACAGAATAATCTCAATATTGGGAGATGAGAGTCTGGGATGAGAGTCTATGCCTGGTTCAAAATCACCCAGGTGGCTCCACTGTATTACTGTTTCAGAACCAAGACAGGGTTCTCACATGGCCCTCACAGTCAGTGCTCTAGAAGGCTTTATCAGAAGGGAGCCTTTGGACACAACTGGACACAAACTGACATATCTTAACCGACTTTACAACTGTATCTTCCTATTTTGGAGAAATGGACAAGAACAAAAGGATGAGAGGTAGTTTGAATTTAAAAAACTGCAACACTTTAAATGCAAGCTGACATTATTAATGCACTGATGACTGAGATGTACTTTTTATTTTTGATGGGAGTGTGTGCATTTGTAAACCTAACATGGTTGTTATTGTGGGGATAAGATTGAGATCAGGAGGAGGAAGCCATTTTGAGTTTGTGATAAGAAAAAAGCAGGATATAAATTAATAAATAAATGCAGGGCAGGTCAAAGGCTTCATGTTTACTACTGCTCTGTTGTCTGAAATTCTGCTTCGGTGTCCCAGAGTCTCTTCAGTGCTGGACTTGGACAAGCGCATGTGCAGTAGAGGGCAAAGAACGCTTTGTGACCAGTGGGAAGGCATGGCATGGTTCAGTGGCTGAATAAAATGAGGCCTATCCTGAGCAGTGTTTGGATGGAGACTATCTGGGGTCATGGATGTAAAAGGAAAACCATGCACAGAATGTAGTTCTTCACCACAGAATAACTGCAGTCCTATATGTTTAAGAGTAATGGAAAGGGCTGCAATTTGATGGTATGGTTAGTGTTAGTTTCCCTGCAGTGAGAGTAATGGAAACTTGGCATGTCTCAGTAAGGTTTGCTTGATATTATAAATATATATTGTAATATAATGCTGGGCACAATTGATGGCAAAAGAAGAAGGGGACAGCAGAGAATGAGGTGGCTGGATGGAGTCACTGAAGCAGTTGGTGTGAGCTTGAGTGGACTCCGGGGGTTGGTGGAGGACAGGAAGGCCTGGAGGAATGTTGTCCCTGGGATCGCAATGGGCCGGACACGACTTTGCGACTAAGAACAACACATATATATATACAGTTGATCACAAAGAAATGGCAGTCCAATGGCAGATTGGCCTGGCCACATCAGATCCCTGGATAAAGACCCTGTATGTTGCCTCCATCAAGCTCTGATATGTTATACATTAAAAACCAAGAGATCCCCAGCTTTCAGAACATTACCTCTCATTCCTGAAACATCAAGTGACTTTTTATGGACCATTAATGAGCAATTTGCCTAAGCATGGAAGGGCTGCATTGACAGGTGAAACCTTGGCCTGGCCTCTTTTCCCTTTCATACCCACACTAGTTGTGTACTACCACATTTCCATCATTCGCTGCACTGTGCATGGGTTGCTGTCCGAACCCACCAAAGTGATGGTTTCCAAATCACCCCACAAACTCTGGCTTGTTCTAAGGTTTTGCGGTGATTAGAAGCCATCCTTGCCACTGCTCTTGCTGGCTCCGGATGGCATGGTGTGACAGCACCCCAGTCACTATAAGCTTCTTTTCCATTCCTGATCTTCGAAGCCCAGCCAATATAAATATGAGTAACAACACAGCCTTCACGGAAAGATAACAGCTCAATGAAAGGTTAAAAAGAACAAAGGACCAAATCAGTAAACGTCCACAGCAGCAACAGAAATCTGCCCCAAAACTTTCAGGAGTATCCTGAAAAATGCTTACTGGAATAAATTTGTTTTCAGTAATTTTATCAAGCATTAAGCAAATACTATATTTCTGTCAGGTCAAACATGTATGCTCATTTTCATTCAACAAAAATATATTTCACAGCTTTTTATACCAGGCGGTGGTGGTGATAAATTAGAAATTATTCAAGTTGTAATGGAAGTAAATTCAAAGCCTTTGTGAAACAGGCTTATGATAATGTCCATTAAAATCTACAGAAACTAATGGCTGTAACTGGCTTAAAGTTGTCCACCTTTTAAAGAAGAATCCTTCATTAACTGAGGAAAGATGAAGGCTAAGCTTAGAATAACTTGGTCATATCTTTTCATAAATCTGCTTTAGCCTCTTAAAACAAGCAAACTGGTTTTTTAAATTGATTTTCCACTGTGTAATAAAACAATGTTGCTTTTTCGCACAGAATGAGCTACATGGAAAGCCAAGTTAGTTGTGTTGACCCATAAGAAAAATCTCAAAAATCTGCAGCAGGGAAATACTTTATGAGGCTAACCACACGGTTCTAAGAACAAGAGCAGACTTTCTGGAGAACTCAGAAGCGTGCTTATTATTCTGCAGTATTTTGGCTGGCCTAATAAAGACATTCCTACAAGGGTGTGGAACCTCTTTCAGCCTGAAGGCTGAGCTCCATTTTGGAGGAACTTGGGGGGTGGGGGAGGTTCCTTTCTGAGAATGGAGGGGGAGGCCAGAGGCAGCAACGTCATAAATAAATGGGTGAGCCTGAAACACTCAGCATGCAGCCCTTACTGCAGGGAACCGAAATTCCTCAGGAGTGGCATGGGGGGGGGGGGGAGAGGGACCTGCACTAAAATGGAGATTTATGCAATAAGAAACAATGAAAGGCACAGTGAAAAACATGGGAAGACCACAGGTGCAAACCATCGACTGGATTCCAGTAAAATAAATAAAATGGTGTGAATGAAGCAAGGTGGTGTTGTGATGAAAGCCTTACATGAAAGCCACCTGGGAACTGCTTGGAAGGCCTTCAGAGACTGGCGTGCAATGGAGTGAGGGCTCTGAACTGCAAACCGTGTAGAGCTAGAAGAAGCCTTCATTCCTCAGGACTTCGCACCCTGCGGTGTCGGTCAGCGCAACACTGCATGCTGGCTATGCTTAATGGGTAACCTATGCTAGGGCAGAGGTGCCCCTCTCAGATGGTTTGGTCTGCATGCTCTCTTGAGCCCTTGCCAACACAGCCAATGGGAAGGGATAAATGCCAGCCAAAACATCTGGAGGGCCCACCCTGCCTTGGAAATATGTTGTAAGCTTGGAACTTAAAGCATCTTTGTGTCTTTCGCGCTTGATCTGATGAAGGGCCTTTCCTAAGGCAATTTTAACCTATATCAGTGAAATATTGAAGAGCAAAGCAGGTACTATTTGCATGCTCAGAAACCTGAAAAAAGGAGGAGGCATTTTGAACTATCCAGTGGTATTGGGGCACTCCAGTTGTTAAAGCTTTGGGACATTTTATCTAGCAGAGTAAAATGTATTTGGTATGTGTGCCTGCATGTGCAAATTCTTAATTTTCAATGTGACCCATATCTTTTCCGTTTTTTCAGCAAAGGTCAGGTTTCTGTCTCATTTCAATATATCTGATCATAGATCGGAAGAAACACATGCAGTTCAAAAGACTGACAAGAATAATCATATTGCAGTGATATCTGAGAAAATGCTACTGGAGGTGTTGACTGGTCTTCCTATTTTCAAGGGAAAAGCATTAGAAAACTTCTTTGTGAATGTATCTGATAATAACAGTTGGCAATGCTATGCAACAGGAACCACAGTATGCCAATTAGATATCAACAATTACTCCCTCATATATAGTGTGTTCTCTGAGTGCCAGTGGTTATGTAGTCTATATGATAGCACAAGAAGGAATATTTATTTATTTACATATATTTATAGGCTGCTTATAATTGCCAAGGCCTTCCTAGGCAGTTACAATTAATTAACAGGCCTGGGAGAACCCTAAGATTTGCAGAAGTACAAAGCATCTTTTGGGGGTAACAAATCTCTGACCTGAGGTTTGGAGTGGGGACAGAAACACCCAACTAGGGCTGAACATACTTAACAGGTGCAGAAAACAGTCAGATTACTTTGCGGGGGGGGGGGGGTGTTTATTCCTTTTCCTATCTCCTATTTCCTAGCAAAGAAAAAGAGTAGCATGCAGTGTTCTGGAAAGGCTTGGCTGAACTCTGAACAGGAGGACTTCTCACTGCAACATTTAGCTGCAGGTCATGCTTCTACCACTAAGTGCCAGAGGCTGGGGACAAAGGACAAGTAAGGGTTGCCACTTATTGGCTGTTCCTTGGAAAAAAAAATCATATGCACCTCCCATATGACTTTCCCTTAATGTATATTGCTAATGGAAATGGATTGTGTTTGTTTGTTTATATCCTGCCTTTTGCCTCTCGTGAAGAACCAAGCTGGTCTATATTACCCTCATTTTACTCTCCATCTTATCTTCGCAACAACTCTTGTGACGCAGGTTAGGCTGTGAATCAGATTCTGGCCTGAAGTCACCCAGTGAGCTGCATGGCCAAGTGGGGAACCAAACCCCAGATTCTTTGAGTCCCAGTCCAACACTCTAAATCATTCACCACACTGGCTCTCAGCCGTGATGCTTGCAAACTTAGTAAGACGTGGAAACTTGCAGATAATCCTGTTAATCATCATTTATCCTGACTGTTTATTGAGAAACAAGTTTGGCCAGGTTGAGTGGGAGATAAGTAGGTTTAAGATTATAAGTTAAATTCCTGTTGAGTTAAGGTTTATTTAGTGGCATTTTCTGAGGTAACTTTCCCTGGGTGCCTCTTCAATGCGGGACAATTTGTAGCCTTCCACACGTTTTGCCTACCAGCCATGGAGGTGGGTGGCTCCCGTGTCAGTGAGGGAGAATCGACTGTGGGGTTCATGGTGCTGGACCAGGACTCCTCAAAGAGCTTCAGCACCATGGACAGCTTCCTTCCCATCAGCACAGTGCCCCACCAGCCTCAGCTCCTGGCTGCCCCCTCAGCCCTAGCCAGCGTAGCCACTGGTGAGGGATTATGAGGGCCTTCAGCAGGGCCCTCAAGTTGCCTATCCTTGCTGACCTACATCTTCGTTAACTCTTCAGTTCCAAAGGATGGGAGGGGGTGGGGAAAGAAAGACAACCACAGGTTATATCATATAACATTAATTGTCCATATATTTAT